AGCTCATCACGGTCACGGGATGTTGAGGCGATGATTAATTCATGCAGATCTTTGGTCAGAACTCCGACTCCCGGTTATGCCAATTTAAGTATCACCTCTACTCGCATCTTTAAATGAAATAAAAGGTACGCTAGCATCAAACTATTAAGGGTATCTTCGAAACCCAATTTTCATTAATTGATGGTTAATTTGAAGATGGTATTGCGTCCATTTTGACTGCATTACAGTGGTGGTTTGACCTCGTTTTTTTAACTTAGCGGTGTTGTCATCGTGACCTTGATGAACGCATCTCGTTCGCAACCCTCTGGCAGAACAGTCATGATAAATTCCAGATTTTGCTCTTGGACTTGTTACCTTCCAAAACGTCTTGTCTTAGAGCCAAGTTGCGTTTAGTCAATTTTCTCTTTGTCAAGTTGTAGTGTGGCGCTAAGCATGGCAATCCTGACTGGCGAGGCCGACGAAACCTCTTGGAAGTTACCAAATCCACAGTTCGGTGCTGGAAATTGTCATGACTACTTTGGCAAAGGGGTGCCGACAAGATATGTTCATCGAGGTTGACACACTCAACAAGGTGAAACCGGGCTGAGATTTCCTCCATCCTATAACGAACATCTTCAGAGCTAGAATGCCCTCGAAACGGGATAGAATGTCGCGTGGGATGCGTCAACATGAATGTCATATTAAAGTCAACTGGCTGTAGAAGAAGGGTAACCGGACGTCAATCAACAAATCTCTTTATTTTGCACTTCCATATGAAATGAAAGTCTATTCAACAATGTTATCTTAAGAGATCTATGGACACCCAGTTAGTCTTCATAACTTCGAGTCAATTTCTCCCACCAAATCCAAACTGCGGTCCCGGAGTGACATTGAGTCGAGTGGTATTCTTCCCTCCGTAAGCAGCCATTGCGAATCTGCGCCCAGACAGGGTCAAAACCAATCTTGTGGCTGGACAAACGGCAATTTGTACGGCAAAACGCCTGGCCTTCCTTCCGTCTCAGCGTTGTAGTCGAGACCAAAACATCGGATTCTTGTTCTCTGCATCCTTTTGGCTTTACTACGTCGTTCAGATGGGCGCGATCTGCTAGGCATACTTCATAGTTTAGGATGAAAACGGTATGTGCTTTCGTCCATCAATCTACTTGTCAGATATTGTTAGAACGGATTTTTACAATAGTTTCAGGTTAACACCAAGTCAAGAAGACTAATCGGCTCTACCTTCATGCTCACACCCACTTAAGTGAAAATAACATTTTATGTCTATCATTTTATAACTATTTTTGGTTTTAGCTGTGACCGCATATGGTAGAGCCGAGCAGTCTTCTTGACTTAGTGTTAACTTAATGCTTTTGCAAGAATGAGCTTTAGCTCTGGCGATGTCTG